AACTTATTTAAGGGTAGTTGGATTTCGCGAGTCGATGCACGGCGACTACCGACCACCCCTCCGAACCCCCCGGTGTCCCTCCTCCGACGCAGCACGCCTCGTGGAATGATTTATAGTTTTCCTTCCGTGGCCACCCATCCACCTACTCACCCCTCCAGCCCTCTTTCCCGCGCGCAAACGGCACCCCTCTGCCAAATATACGCAAAATAGTCGGAATTTGTACGCCAGCACCCCACCAGTGGAACTTAAATCCCGGTACGAAGATGGAGTGGCGTTCTCGTGTACATGAAGTAACGAGGTCTCGATTAATACGTTTTTAAAATCGACGCCTCGAAGAGTCGTGGGACGATTGGATATTCAATAATGCAGTGCAAGGGAAAAAATAGAGAGACAGAGGCTGTGAAGTGATTGATGGATCGCGGTGTATGGGTGTTCTGTTGGCACCGTTGTTTCATTAGTTTTCCATTCATGGGCGTATTCATGTTTTTTGACACTCTATCTTCCAGGAGAATATTATAGGCTTTTTAATTTCAGCATCTACCACAATCGTCCACACGGTCAATTGTTCCCTAACTTCGAGTCGTCAGTTAGTGACGATATCGTCTCGATAAAGGATTAAGAACGAGGAAGAATCGCGAAAGGATGCTTCCTCGAGAGCCCGACTAAGTTCCCTAAATAATAATTAATGACCAAGCCGAAAATGTGACTCCAATCGTGTTGACACTGCATTGTAAGCCGCAGACAATGCTCCGGTGGCTTTCCGAAGCGTGTGCCGGCGGGCTTGATGGAGGACCAGAACGGCGGCGTCGGAGGGCAGGGGCCGTAATTAATAACTTGGAATTGATTAAGGTGTCAGATAAGTCCATGGAGCCGGTGGCCCGTGGCTCTTTCTCCCTTTCTCCAGCCGCCGCCACTCCTTTCTCCGTCGCCGCGACGCGTTACGATATGATTAATAATTTTGAGATAACGCCGCCCCGTCCCTGCGGAGTCCCTGCGCCCCGTTGTCCCTTTGAGAGGGACCGATTTGCGGCCCCACTTACGGCCTCATAAATGACTAATTATTCTCTCACCGTCCTCGCGCCATTTCTGTCCGCTCTGCTTAAGGAGGTAATCGGAAAACCGACCTTTTCGCCTCTCTTTTGTTGCAGAAGCGACAAAGAACCAAGCTTGGAGTTATTATTTGAATTTCGATGTTCGATATAATTGTGACACGCACAAATTTAAATAACGATGAGAATTTCGCGTCACGCCAAAGAATTTAATGTATCTTCGTAATTTTATTAAACGGCCATCGACTCTGGTTTTATAGAGTCCCATTTCCCGAGATGTGAACAAAAGGACATCAATCTCCATTTCATCTTGCCTCTTTGTTCGAATCCTACCTGCCACCCCTAACACAAACTCCTATCTAAACCTGCCATTCAAACGGACGTTGTCACCAATAATACCAAGTCGTACAAAAATTTCTAAAAGCCAAACAATTACAACAAAAGGTACCAACGCAACATGGGGAACCTTGGTAGCCAGCGAAAACATTCCCGACGTATCGAGGGTAGTAAAAAGACACATGGAGGGAGGTCCTCTTCCTGATAGAAGTTGAGCGATCGTCTATGCAAATACCTAATCCTTTCGCGAATCCGTCCAGGTGACGTTGACGGATTGGCGGAGGACTTTGCGCAGAGGCAGCCTGAACAGATTGCAATCCGCGGGACCATTTGTTTCCCCGGGCCGTGAAGAGCTCCCGTGCTACTTGGGGAGAGAGGTGCTCGAGGCCGATTAACGGGTCTTCGTTAATTGCCGATAAAGAGAACGAAAGCCGGACGACGACCTTCGCGCGGGAAGACGGAAACGGTGGATTAAATACGCGCTTTCGGGTCACCTTCTCCGATTCGACTCGTGCCACTTGCACGAATAGGCTTCCTTCTGAGGCAAGTTACCATCGTCGAGTAGCCTCAGTCGTTATTACTCGAGGATTGATTGGAATTTGGACGAAAAATTAGTGGGTGTAAAAATTAATTCTGTGTTCAGGTTGATAGTGTAACGGAACGAAATGAATTGAAAGTATTTCTATTTAAATTAGAGTTATCGCAAAGCAACGACTAGCGTCGTTGTCGTCGCGGTGCTCGAGATTAAGCATCCCTCGAAACAGGAGTGTTAAATCTTTCTGACACCGACGGAAAAAAGCCTTTAATGCCATGGACGGGCTACTACGAAAGCGCAGGCTGATTATGTGCTTCCTCCTGGACGCTCAAGATTGACGGATTCAAATTTGCCGGGGCTTAAGTCTCGCGGGTTCCACACGGTTTACAGACAGCCGGCTAAACTGGGATCAACCCTTTGCGCGGATTACGGCGTGTGTGTCATGTCATGCTTGATTTCGGTACTGACCAAGGGCTCGTGAAAACCCGAAATAAGTGGCATCCCTCCCCCTTGGCTAAGTATATCGACGATGGGAGGAGCGAAAGCCTTATCGCGCGTAAAAGGATCATAACACGAGAACGGACGATAATTAAATTTTAATGACTCGGGGTTATCGACGCTAAAACTACCAAGATGGTGAATTTTATCCACGTACTGCTGAAATGCATAAATAAAAAATTAAGAAACTAATTCCAAAGATCAAGCGTTAAAGAAAACAAATCTGGATAGAATTCGTGAATTTTGAACAATTACTAAAAATAAATACTACCGCAAATGTTAAATTATACTTTTCAATTGTACAAGAACAAAATTTTAGCATCATACATATTTTCATGAGTGTGTAGAATAACCTGATAAAAGAAAATATGCAAAAGGAGGACAAAGGATTGATCGTGCAGCTCAATATACATGAATCGATCCCCACACGGTTTCACCAAGGTTCGCCGAGAAAAAATTCGCGACAATTCAAAGGACATTTGCGAATTCCATCATACGCGTTCCTCCAAGCATTAATCGCCCTTCGGTCCGAAAGGGTACACATTTTCGCGACGTTCTTTCGTTCCTCCCACGCCGAAGCCCTGAAATGTTGTTCCCGTTTCATTGTAGAAACTTGGACCGTCGGTGGAGAAAGGGAAAAGGTGGAAAATATTTTTCCAGACCGACGGCATTGTCTTCGCTCGTGTCTCTCGGTGATTAATTTTTCAGACCCCTTTTTCTCGCGACAGTAATTATCGGTAGGGTTTTCGTTCATGAAAATTTATAGGCCTTTATCTTCCTCATGGAATGGTCAACAAAATCGCCGGTGAAGGTAGGAACGCGAGAACTTCAATGCCAGTGGAAACGTTACGTTGCTATGTCTGTCACAATAGTGTTTCCCAACGTAATTACTTTGGTTGACGTTACGTGTCGCAAAGAAAAGCGGAGTCTTTAGTAGGAGTCAAGCGTATTGAGGAGGAATTTAATTGAGGAAGTTGAAAGACAAAGAAATTTAGTGATATTATCTTTTCAGATTATTGGTAATAAGTGGGCAGAGGTGGTGCATTGAAATCAAAGCTGCTGAAGATTATTCTCTGTTTTCGCAGACTAGATCAAACATCCCAAAATTCATGCTCCTTCGTCAGTTCTACATACCAATAACACCAATAATCGACAATCAAACCTCTCCCAACACTGAATTACAAAAATCAAAATACCCAAACCCAGCCATGAAAGTTTTTCCAACTACAGTTACCATGTTACCGCAGATCCACCGAGGAAGAGAGAGGTAGGAAGACAGTAGGGTCGCATTAACGAGCTTTTCCTAATTATGAGAAAAAACTAGACCGCGCGATTAAGGGCTGCGGTGGGCTCTCCCCAACCTCGTGTGGATGTTGGGCCATGGACCAGCACGGAAAACTAATTGAAACCGCCTAACGACCCGCCGGCAAATGATACATCAACCTCGAAGAAAGCAGCCCCACCGTCTTAATACCGTTTCGCCTTATTCGACGCTCATCGCGGGCGCAATTTCGCCCTTTTCCACCCCCTCGACCGCTTTTCCACCGCTGGTCCTTGGAACCGTTCATCCCTGAGTCCTGGGCTCGCGTCTTCGGGTCGCTTAATTGCGCGCTCGAACGAAGATCGAGGACGTTTCCTCGCTGGCTGGAATGATTTATCGCTTTTTTCTGCCTCGTTTGGCGCGTTGCCTTTTGGTCCAGCGATGTCCAAACGCTCGGATCAAGGACTCCAATGTCGCGAGCTTCTCGAGTCATGCAACGGTGACTCCCAAAATAAAAGGGACGTTTTAAAATTCGACCTGAACGCGCAAGAAAATGTCTGAAACGTCAACCAACACTACGAACTCGCATCGTAGCTCTAACAAGTACAACTTATAAGGAGGAAGATGGAATTTACACTCGCACTCTTGTTACTTTCAGAGGCATGATCAAGAGATAACGAACCGAAGACAACACGGTGCCGAAGCTGAGAATATAGCTAATCAACGTATGAATATATGTAGGAAAAGAGACCAGAGTACAAGAAAACTATCGAGCACATTAAAAAAACACCAAGAATCAACATAACGTGAACCAATCAGCAACGAGAGATTATTATATCGACAATTCTCACAGTACCAAGTGGGAAGAGGTTCAAATTATGGATTTCGAGCCCAATTATCACTAATGATTGGGATATCGGACATATTACTGATTCTAGCTCATTAAATTTACAAACTGATACTTCCAAATTAGACTCTTCATGCAACCTGATTTCACGGCTCAAATTTCACTGAGAAAAATAATATTGTTGGCCATTAGCTTACGTAACGCTCTTCCCTTTTCCTAATACATATTCTAGATGTGTCGATTTCATAGCTTATTGTGTTATTGTTTCATCTCTCTGAGATATCTACTGATGAGATCAAGATATCATTAAGTAATGGATTAAATATTACTAATTTGAAGAATCGTAACATTCTGTTAAAATATGCCAATGAAATGGTGTACGTGCCGCCATCTAACAGCATCAAGCGGTATCAAGTAGAATAAAGGACACCACTGATTGCACCGTTCATCGGATAAGACTAATAATAAACTCACCGAACAAAGGACCGCCAACTGTCCAAGAAGCTCTTCTCCACGATGTAGAACTTCTTCTCCGGATCCTCGCACTTCATTATCTCATTTCTATTTCTCGCGTGATACAACTCGTTCAGCTCATCCTTTTGTTGCTTCGCCTTTATCTTGACGTCTTTCTTCGCTTTCTGCGCGTTCTCCATCTTTTCCTGCACAACAAAGCACAGCTAATAAGTATATATAGTAAAATAATAATAGTTTAACCTAATGTATATGTCACATCGAAGGAATGTTAAACTTTTGTTCGAATATAAGTAAAAAATAAAACGTACTTCGCAGATTGAGCAGGATCCAGATCCGATCGGGTATTCTTTGGACTCCGGAAAGTACTTCCGGAGAATAGTCCAGGCTTCGCCGGGTACTACTTTTCTCGACGAGTCTGGCGTCTTTAGCGAGTTGTGCTCGCAAAGCAAGTCCTCGTTGAAGTAGATTATAACCTCGTTTTCTTCGCTCTCCTCGATTTCCTTCGACGTCTCATCTTCTTTCCTCGCGGCTGTGCTGTCGGCTCGAGGACCGTTCGGGTCTCGACAGTCTTCGTTCTCTATTTCCTGCTCCAAGTCTTCGGTGAACTTCTCCATAGCGAGTCTCCGCCAGGACTTCAACGAATCAGCACCCACGATATAGCTCGTCTCGGTTCTAAGAACGTGAAAATGAATATTTTTAAATAACCTATCGAGTCTAATTAAACAGCAGACCAGTTGGAATGACTTACGGCTCTTTGAAATTTCGTACAAGTTCGTTGACTTCCTTATGATCGCGTTCAAGTGACATTTTGAAACGGAGTAGCTTGTATCGACGCTTCACGCAAACTTCGCAGAGAGAGTTCTGATCCAATCGTGGTCCTCCGCGATATTTTCCATACACCATTTCCGCAGCCAATAGCGGCAGGCACTTCGCACGATTTACCTTCAACGGATCCAGTCGATAATGCGAACACATCAAAGTGGAATTGTCGATCGGTGGCACTCCATCGGTGGATGAGTGGCCGTTGAGCCATTTTGACAACCAATCCGTGGGTATCCACTGATATTCTTCCCAACTGACTGCGTTGAAAACGATATTATACACGTCTATAACGAGCTGTCTCTTTAGGTTCTGATCTTCGATCTCCTTTTGCTGAAGACAAAAAAAATGTCATTTAGAACACTTCTTCTTAATTAGTTTGCACTTCTTTAGACTCAATTGCGGACTTGTTAGTACGTACTTTTTCTTGTTGAATCGCTAATAAACTTAATTCGTACTTCACATTTTCTTGCCTCACTAAATCGCGCAAAGTAGGACTGACTTCCCAATTCTCAAACTCCATCTGCAAAATGTTAAAAGTATAGTAACGCGAACGCGATAAATGTATCATAAAATTAAGAAAAAAATGTATCACTCTTACCTCTTCGTAAAAGTCACGTTCCCCGCAGCTCATGGCTCTATGCGCAGCACCATTCAGCTGCCTGTAGTCTACTTTTGCATTTTTTGCAAACGGTTTCTTCGTTTGCAATTCTTGTTGATCTTCTTTATTGTCGGATTCGTAGTGTCTTCCATTTTGCTCGTCGGTGCTACAATCCACCATCATAGAAGTTATTTTTTCCTGTGCACTAACGTCTTGAGGAGACGATATGTCCATTTCGACGTCCATTTTATTCACTGTACCCAGTATCACTACTTCCTCGGATCCGCTTGAATCAGGAACAGCAGAATCTTGTCCATTTTTACGTTGTCCTTCGTCCGATGAGTCTCCTTTCTCTTTATCGACACACATCTCTGTGCTATCGCTATTAGTCTCTGTTTCCGCTTTCTTCGATTTTATTTTCTTCGCGTTGTTCATCCGCCACTCGGTAGTAACTTTCTTATAAACTAACATGTACGCGGTATTAGATGAAAGAAAACCTTTTGGTACCCGTCCGCGTCTTACAATTTTCGAAGTATCTACAATATAGAAAAATAATTAAAGGCATCTCACAATTACTCCACAAAAATTACTTTGTGAATAGGTTGCTATAGGATTCATGCTCACCATTAACGCTATCTTCGATCCTCTTGTTCTGCATTTTTTCAACTTTATCGTCGCTAAATTGGTACCATTCTCCGTTTGAATTACATATATTGGCAATGTAATGGCCCGAATGCGCAGATGGACCTTTATGGCTTAAGACCGCGACAAGACTGTACAACTTAGATTGTGGTGGATATCTTACATACTCGGACATATCAAGATCTTCTGGAAACTGTATAAAAGAATTCAGCTTTCTTTTTTGTCCAGAATCCCTGTCAAATGAAACAATACATACTGTTAATATGAAAGCTATAAGCATCGGAAGATGCTGTAACATGGAAATGTACCTATGGAACACGAAACGCATCAACTGTATGTTCAACGTTTCTGGAAGAGATTCCAAACGTATAAAACGTCGCGCATCCTCTTTGTCGTTGCAGGTAACGCAATGATATTGATTTGGTCCAGTAAGTTGCTCCACAGACAAGTATTTTTCTATTGCCTCCTTGAGAGTAGCTGCGAGCTGCAGGTCCAACTCGTAGAACGTAGTGGACGTTGGGTATTCGGTACCGCATTTCGAACAACTGCGTCAGACATAAAATCCAAGTTATTCAGGAAAAATTAGCTTCTTTCTCGGTCAGATCAGTTGATCGCACCAGTCACCGCAGCGAGCAACGTGTCCTACCATGTTCTCATCGTCAAGATCATCAGCATCATCATCGTTTAGGACAATTCTCATTTGTTTTCCACTTCAGAAAACCCACCAATTGATATAGCTGTATTTTCCTTGAGTCAGCTCCTGCAGCATCTGCTTCAGTTCTGCGGTTTGTTGCAGTTTCCCTTCCATATGACAGAGGAGTAGCTTGGAGAATTCCTGTGCATCCTGCTGAGTTCTAGTATCCAACGACAACGCGACAGCGAGATTCATTGGATCAAGAAGGCGCCGATTCCCGAATTGCATCATCGCAAATATATATTGCAACTGTCCAACTGCTGTCACTGGATGATACGGTAGTCCTGCCTTCTTAGCTTGACACACAGCTTCCCTTTCTTCCGGATCGTCTGTGATGTTCCATTTGTATATTATCCTCCTGAAAATGTAAAAATAGCATTTCAAAATAAGTACTGAGAAATAAATTGTAAATATGTTAACCACATGTCGCCAATTGTGTATACGTACCTCATATCTTCATTGTGAAACCACATTTGTATTAAACTGTTAACATAACAAGTTGCACCTAGATTCTTTAAACCAACATACTCTGTAGGATCCCGTAATTCGGATAAAGAACTTTCTAAAGACATTACTTCTACAGGTTGTGACTTCATATACTTTTCTTCGCCTAGTCCTGTTAGACATTGTGGATTATTTGTGCAATTGCGTCTGAAAGCAAAACATTTACTTTAAAATATTTGGAAACAATAATAAAAGATGTTGTCAATGAACGTACAACTTACTTGCAATTTTTACATGATTTTAAACCTATCCTATATGCAGTTTCCAAGTGTATCTTCTCTATTTGATCTGGTAAAACACCTTCTATCCAAGCCCATGCTAATTTGTCTAAATCAGTCTTCTTTGCTGGTGGCATTTTTATCTAAAACATATTAACCTAAATCTTAAATTATGAAATAAAGTAGTCGACTCAAATTTATAAATTTGAAAAATTCAATGAACTCTACTATAATTTGTTTCATCCTAAGTTTGTACAAAGAAAAGAGGAAATGCATAAATTTACATTCTTCAATAAGTAATCATATTTTACAAAGTTTGGGTACTTTTCCAAAGAAAAAAAAAAAGACTAAAGATGTCAACGTTTATAATTCCACAATAAACAAACCATAAGGAAAGAAAACGTGCAATCCAAAAAAATGTCACTTTCCTCGTAATTATTCAAACAAACATTTTCATAATAAATATTGTACTAAGTATACAACGTGTATCTCACATTCGATGGAGTACGCGTTTCATTTCGCGCCATGAGAAAATCGAGATTCACTAGCAAAATAAAAATGGAACGAGAGTGGCACTTGATAGAATCGATTTCACTAAAATTCTCTAATCTAAAATAGCAGTAAAAGAATAAACGTGGATGACATACTCGATTGTTAACAAATATCGGATACATGAACAATCTCGTGAATCTGAAAAATCGTTGGTTTTATACCTGCACGAAAGTAGTTCGCTGCTGCTTTTTGAGGTTATGAAAAACGCCGCTACACTCTTTACAACATCCTATTTCTCCCCCATATCATTATCTGGTCGTAGAAGAAATTGATCACGCTTTTAAATTCACTTAGCACTAGTATCTCTGGATACTTTTCGCAAATAAGTAAAAAAAAAGTATCATCAAAATACTCCAAACGTCCGATATACACTGATCGCCATATGCAATCGACTTGCCTTAAGGCGCGCGTCAAATCAATCGCTAAATAATCAAATCTATCCAAACTAACAACAATGTACTTTTCAAGAATAATTTAGTGCAATATTTATTGCAACGAAATCATAATTTCATTTTTTATTACGAACATTAAATATATTTTATCCGAAAGATTTTAACACGCATAAAGAAATAAATTAATATTATTTAATGATAAATTAGGAACAACAGGGATCTTTTCCGATATTTACCATTTATATTTTTGTTGCTACAAGTATTAACGAAAATGTCTCAAGATAAAATAGGTAAATATTATTTAGAATAATAGTGATAATAAAATAAAGAATAATAAATTTATAAACTTGACTTGCAGTTGGCAGTGATATCCTGATAGAATTTCTAGAAGTAACATTTAATCATATATTGTTCTTCAGAAACTTATATCCCAAAGAAATTTTTGTGAACAGGAAAATGTATAATACAACAGTATATGTTTCTGAACATCCAGAACTCAATGAATATTTAAAAAATGTTTTAACTGCTATTAGAGAAATGGTAAAGGAGGATGAGAATAGTGTGAAGGCAGTGAATCTCGTTTTTTATAACAGAAATAAGCAACCAATTGAGAAATTTGTTTTCGACCTTGTTAAATTACAAGCAAATAGCATAGAGTAAGTATTGTCCTTAGTAATGTATTACTCATGAGGTGAATTTAGTCCTCATTTTGACAATCATTACAGAAAAGATCCATATTATTTAAAAACCGAAGAAGCGCTTAGAACAATTTGTTTAAAATTGTCCATGTGCGAAGCATATCTGAAACCATTACCGGAAGACTCGACTTTCTCTATTGAAATTCAAACATATGAAACAGCACATGTTGCTCTAAGTGAAAATCCTCATTGCGATGATTTTCCATGGATTATACATGAAGATGCACTTGAAATGACCGGACAAGATTTACTTCCATTAAAAACTATCAAAACTGATTGTTTAAATTTGCAAATGTATGTAGTAGAGAGCAAGGAAAGTAAAACTACAAATTAATTGTAATTATTATACTTATTGTAAATAATAAACTTTCTATTCATTTTAAGGGAATGACAAGTGTTATTCGTTTAGAATAGTTTATACATGAACTTTATAAAAAATAATGCTTTGTATTTTATAATTTTTGCAATTAACATAGATGAAAGAGGGTTGTAATTAAAACTTCAACAAAATTTGTAATGTATGTATAAACACAAATCTTACGGATTTCTTAAATTTTCAATATTATATAAAATTAAAACATACCACAATTAATAAGTATAATATGTACTAATGATTCTTCAATAACATATGAATACTTTCGATATTCCATTTCTTTTTGTCGTTTATGTCCAACATTTTATGCCATATAAAGGTATAAAAACGGTAACAAGTTTAAATACGTAACTAATTTCAACTTTCTGTCTGTACAAATGTAGATTTACGCGCGAATTTTACAAGGCAGTAATATAGTGATCTTCTAGAGACCTAGAGGACGCTAATGATCTTTGAAAAATATTCGAATAATTTAGAAATTATATAAAATTTAGATTGCAATTTTTAAATAAGCAAATAATTTATGATAGTTACACTGAAGTTCATCATCTTTTTTTATAAACTTGGATGAACTGTTGATAAATTGAATGCTTCTATAGGAACTTTTCTAGATCCGAGACTACCTGGAAACAAAATCCAACACCATAGCTGTTATCACGATACGATGCAAAAACATAACCATCATAATCTTCGTGTACGACGTATGTACATAGTTTACTTTAATCTTTTCAAATCAATATTTTAATAATACATCGAAAATGGAACAGTGGGTATCCGAAAATCTGTCACGATTGCTGGACTTTCCTGTTCCAGAGGATTTAACAAAGTAAGAACATTGGTTTGAAAAGAGTAAAACAAATACGTTTATAAAATTTGAGTATTTATTTTCTAGATATGTTATGCAAATAGAAAATGAAAGAGACATAAAGACGTATTTAGGGGAGATAGTGGGAGATAGCACCTCAAAGCATACAGAATTTATTACAGAATTTATAAGACGTCGAGGTTTATATTTTCAATTGTTGCATAAATTGACAAGGTACTTAATGCAATCTTACAATTTTATTATGTTATTTTAGCATTGAATAAGGATCAAGATGTATACAAGAAAAGCAATGATACAGATAATAGAAATAAAAAACAGAAGAAAAACAAAATGAAAGGAAAAGAAAAGCAAGAGAACAGACAGGTATATTATATATTGCATTACTATTCCGAATTATAAAATAATTAATTAAGTACCATTAATTTAGCTACAAGAAAATTTGAAAGTAGAAAAAGTTGAGAAAAAGAAAACAAAATTTGTTAATTTATATTCACAAGAAGGCAAAGATAGAGCTGCAGTTTTATTACCAGGTAGTTCTATTACCAGTATCCAAATGTAATAGGTCTAAAGTTATGAAGAAAATAATGTAGATATACTTTATTAGGTAGATATAAATGCAACTGTGAAGGAAAGAAGCATTTATTGATTAATAACTGCCTTAACTGTGGAAGAGTAGTTTGCTTCCAAGAAGGAGCTGGCTCATGCTTTTTCTGTGGAGAACTTGTATGTTCTCCCAAAGATCAAACAATTCTTTCTAGCAACACTAAACAAGCTGATCATTTATATAATAAGTTAATGAATCAAAAACCTGTTAAAGGTTTTGAAGAATCGCTTAAACAAAGAGACAAACTTCTTGAATATGATCGCAATGGGTATGTAGTACATAATTTGTACTAACTTAAGAAGAGATACTTAATTATATTAATTTGCAGCACACAATGTACAAAAGTTATTGATGACGAGTGTGACTATTATCAGACAAATAGCATCTGGTTAACAACTAAGCAAAGAGAAAAGTTACAACAACTAGAGAAAGACATAAGTGCTAAGAAGCATGCATCGCGTTTAAATCAAAAAGTGAATGTAACCTTTGATTTCATGGGTAGAGAAGTCATTGAAGAGAATCCAGATGATGACTTCAATGAGTTCAATGAAGACCAGTTTGAAACCATTTCTGAAATAATGTCATCTGGTGAACTTGAAAAGTCCAATGTCTGTCCAGATGTAGAATTGATTCGCCCAATGGTAAAAAATATTGTTAATAAAATTCTATATGTCAGTTGTAAAAATGTAATTACTGTTATTCAATCATTATTCTACAGTATACTGAATCAGATGAATATGAACCACATAGTATGAAAAAAATCATTCCCAATAAAATGAGAAATATTGTTCAAGACAAAGAATTTTTAGAAATGTCTGATGCAGGTTTATGTTTGAGCATGCATCAACCTTATGCATCTTTATTAGTTGCTGGGATAAAAACGTAAGACTCAATGTAATGTAATCTTCAAAATATATAAGTACAAAAAAGATGGTTCTCAATATTATATTAATATTACAGACACGAAGGCCGGACATGGTACACATCACACAGAGGAAGATTATGGATTGCTGCAACAACTAAGTCACCAAGCATGGAAGAAATTTCGAAAATGGAATATTTCTATCGCGTTTTAAAAGATGGTTAGTGCAAATTCAATCTGAATAGAAAAAATGAACTACTATTTAGGATTGTCTTACAATTATTTAATGTTAATAATAATATCTTCCAGAAAAAATCAACTTTCCTCAGAATTATCCAACTAGGTGTTTATTGGGTTGCGTAACAGTTACCGATGTTTTACCTCAAGAAGAATATAGAAAAATTTATCCAAATGGAGAAAGTGACAGTCCCTACGTTTTTATATGTGAAAATTATTATTCATTACCAATTAAGTTCCCAATACAGGGAAAGCATAAAATTTGTAAGTGCTGTTACTAATTTGCGCTTACTAGATACATATTTAAACAAAAAAATAATTTTAAATAATTTATATTGTTACTTATAGATAAATTGGACCCAAAAATTCATCAAGCTGCCCTTAAGTTTTTAGGAAAAGTTACAAGTACAAATAATTAAATAAAATTGGTTTAAACACTTCAAGTATCCATTGTAACATTGATTATAATATTAATATTATGTACCTTGAACCCTGAAAACTCTTTCTAAATTACAAGAATAAATATTATTTTTTCATAATGTATATTAAATGTTATTTATTGTTTGTACATAATAGAATATATTATAATGTACACATAGTTTGAGATATATTACAACAGCCATTACAAGATTTATATTTAGATTTATTTTACCCTAATCATTTCTTTTCTTACCCATTTCTTTTTACGTGCAATCAATGAAAAAATATTAGCAGTATTTTCTATTATGTTTAAAATATCAGACTTTTGTAAATATTAAAAGTAGATTTCAGTAAAGTCGTTCTACATTAAAAAGGTCTATAAATTTGAAGTACAAAGAGAACATTTTTCATTGAAATATAGCATTATAAATTTTATTGTTCTTACAAATTTTGAGTTCGATAGGTAAGAGTGCTTTCCAAACATAATGAAGATTTGATAAGGAAATTACAAATTTATTTTAGTCTTAATCCATGTATGACTTTATCTTATGATAATTTGCACTGTACTGAAAGTTTCAAATTTAGAAAATCGTATCGTATGAAACAAATTCAAGAAATGGAAAACAAACTTTGTACATACAAACCATTCAAACTGAAATAAAAAATTATTGCATTCACTTAGAATAAAATGATCGTTACATGATTATACCTGCATACTAATCATGTTATATACTGCTACCTAAAATAAGCATCTAAGGTAGAAGTTCAATCCAAGTTTATTTAGCAAAATAAGAATGCACAGGCCTACCAGGCCTATAACACTATTTAACATCAATCTAAAGTAGAACTAAATTTCTCAAAATGTAATTCAGATATTATTAACTGATCGATCGATGTATTAGGAATGTATAAATAAATATCGAAGTATTTTATACGGCTTTTTGTATAGAATAAACAATTGTTTGTTAAAGTTTTTAAAACGAATACTTGAGTTGTATAAATGTCAAAAGAATATTAAATTCAAATGATATTTCTATTAATTTGGATATTGTGCAGTCTATCAATTGTGTAATTTACATTTGTGATGCATAGGTACGTAAGTATTGTATTTCTACAATGATATTATCTAGGTAACCAAAAATTATTTAAATAATAAATTACTATATGTTTAAAACAATAACTCAGTATTTTTTCTCATATCCACAATCGCAATAAAAATGAAATTTTAATTGAGCTACTTCTGAAAGAATAATTATTTTACAATCAACATTATTAGACTAGTATTTGATGATGAAAGTCATTGATCCGTTTCAATGATTATTAATGACAATGATTTGACAACCATCATAATGAACCTTGGACTCATTATTAATATTTTCCAAAATTTTGTTGTTACATACTTTCTAAAATTAATAACTTTAAATGAGTATAAAAATCAACAAACAAAGAAAATTAAATTCAATCCTATAAATTCTTTAATCTCTGGATGAGAAGAAAAAGCCATAAACAGCTGTATAATATTACGAAATACATATACGATAACAGTACAGATTAATATCTTTTTCCTTAAATAACAATTCAATATATCCAACGTGATTCTTTTTCTAAAATACAAGTTTGTATGAGTTCTTCATATGGATACAATACAGACGCCGTAGAATAAATAGTTTTTATATAACTTTCAGTATTATAAACTATTTAGGCTATCAAATATAATCAATAATTCTTTATTCATTCATGATTTTTAGGTAAACACGCGAATATATTTAAATACTGTATTATCGAATCAAATCTACACGTGTAACCTTTAACAAGAAGCGAATTTAATAATGATTTTATACATTAAAGTCGTTGAATTATCTAAAAGCTCAATTTCATTAAGAGTTGTATATTAAATAATAGGTCAAATTTTTGTTTGATTTGATTCGATGTAGAATGGTATTCGCACATGCCCATTGTTACCCTTTTTTAATCAAGTAATAGGCCACCACAATATTACCACAATACTAACACATCCATATCACAAATCTACTGTGCTCAAACAATTTTAAATAAATAACTTCATATCTCCATTATACATTTCAGACATTGTAAATTCGATTAATATGGTAATACTTTTAAAATTTTTGTCTAGATAAAGTGATTAAGAAATTCTGTTACCACTTATATAAGTTGCGACAAGCATTACAAGTAATAACAGTTTTTTTTAAACACCTTAACATTCATATTAGGATAGCGTGAAGTATCCAGGCAATACACTTACCATTTTTGCTTACTTCAAATACATGGAATAGCGTACAATGATACTTATTTCAAAGTGTTTATCTAAATGTAGGTAGGTGAATCTTTTAAATTGGCACCACAGGCATCACAGGTCGAAACATTCTTCTCGTTTACTAACGTACATTTTGGACACTCTTTTCCACCACTTGCTAATGGTTTATCCTCGTTACCTTTATGCCTGGACTTTCCACACATTTCGCAGATATCTCTTGACAAAGGATTAAGATACGTACAAGTAGCACAATTCCATTTATTTCCATCTCTTATTCCGTCTTCTTTTCCCGAATGAGACAGCTCCAAACCTTTTAATGTATCTGCAATTTTTGAAATTTGATCCGAGGATCGGTGAGAACGCTGAATGGGAAGTGTTTGACTGCCGTGTTTTCTGTCTTTACTATAGGAAGATAGATGACCCTCGGGAGAAGCATCAACATGATATCTGTTGGAATCTGTTAAATCGAAAGACGAAGACTTTTTTTTAAAAGGTAAGGTATCGTGATGATAATGTCGACCGTTCGTCAAAGACGAGTCGATCTCGTTCGCGTCAGTTCTTCCGTTCCTTCTTTTTTCAAAGCGATACGTGTTGTATTTCTCATCATTGTCACTTTGCTTGAAAGATTTTGGTTTGGTCGTTCGGGAGTCGCATTCTCGTTTATGTAAAATATCTTCTCGATCGCCAAGATCTTTGGAATAGCCTAAACTTTCTAAATTTCTATACACAAAATCCCAGGAGTCGTAATTATTTCTGTCGGTAACAGTTTTCGCAGACTTCGTATCGACTTTCGCGTAGTCGTAATGGTCGTCGCTGGATTGTTTTCTATAAAAATCTACTTCATCCATGTCTGATATTCGTGCTTTTCGACTATGCACTTTATCATAATTCGCAACTGATACGGGCATGTCAAGCTCAATTAATCTGTCGGTTGGTACTCTGGTATACGTTGGTATTGTGGTATAGTAAGGATTTGGGACACCGCTAAAATATTTGTTACCATGCGGCAAACATCCATAGGCACTACATCGATTCACAAAGCTATGATCCATTGGTGGAAAATATCTATAATTTCCGGGTATCGCGTTTGTGTCTTCGATGTATCTATAATCTGCTTGACAAACAGGCATATTATAATTGGGAGGCATTATATGATAGGGAACCGACGGCGACGCTGCATCTATGCAAGAAGCTTGCGGGTAATGATAGTCTCTATAATTCTCCGGTTTTGAGCGGTTTTGATGCATTTTTTCGAGGAAACGATAGTTCAATGCTCTGATTGCTTGTTCCGGTGTACCAACGTGATTTTCCCGGAACTCTAAAACTTCCAACCAAGATACAGTACAATTCTGTGAAACACTCTCCCATATTTGTTTTAAAATCTGCATTTAAAATGAGAAATTCTTTATTTAGGTTACATCCCAAAGATCTATAAGTGCAGCAAATTAAACAACATTACCTGACACTCAACAAAGGCTACTATTGCATCCCTGCTAACACTGGATACTTTATCAGGATCGATAGGACCCTCTAAAGTAAGAACTCCTAACCCTGTATGTTTGTACCCCATTTGTTCAAACATTAATTCTGCACCAATCAAATTTGCTTCCACTTCATGTTTATAATACCCACTATAAGTCTATTATTAAGAAAGAATAAATTAATCATACTCTTTCAAACATTTACAAAATTAGATGAAAGATTGTAGTGTTATTCACCCTTAATGTTCTATATTCTTTTCTCCAAGGTTGAGCTAAAAGATTAGCAGCGTACAAGGAAATAGCACTCCAGGCAGTTGTTGCTCTATATCCACTAAAGTCTTGTAACGTAGCTGCTGATCTATGCAATATATCTGCAGTTTCTTGAAATACATATTTATTCTCATTTGGTACAAGGCATAGGTATTCTTTAATGAAACCTAAAATACATACAATTAAATGTACACATGTTATACCCAACGAATCATTTATGTGTTATTTATGAGACATAGTTTACCTTCTAGTTTATGACGCTGTTGTAACTTCAAAGGACTGTCATCTGTTTGTAAGTAAACCAAATGACTTTGCTCTAATTTCATACTAATTTCTTGTAGTCTATCTTTACTTCTAATTGTTAAGTCATTCGCCATTTTTGTCACTGCAAAAACAAGTACTTCTTATTACTGTTATTAATGTACTTTCAACATTTGCTTATAATACCATTTAAATTATTTTATAAAAATGAAACAATCAAAGGAGGAATTCAATGCGCCAAATATAAGGTAGCACAAATTTAACAAATAAGAGATAACTTTCTTCAGAAATAGTGTAGAAGTAAAATTAGTAAACAGGTAAGAACAAGGTAAAAGATGTTAGCTAGAAATAGATATCTCTCACACCTATTAGAAACCTTCTAGAAATGCAGCTTTAGAACAGATTCCTGATTCAAACTATGGCTAGCTCCAACCTAAAAATAAATCCTATATTTAGAAGCACCGCTACAGTGTTTACTTCAAAAGCTACCATAATATATTTTCTATTTGGTAGATGCTCCATGTCAAGTAAAAATGTCCATTGGCCTTTTTATTGCGCTTTAAAAACATGTTACATCACTTCATAAACAGTAAATATTTTTCTCCGCAACTTTTTCTTGGTTATGTTGTAGTTACGTCACAAGCACGGAACACACATTCACTAGACATCCAACCTTATACGCAAAAAGAACCAACTTTAAAATTATTATTTTTTCCTCTGCTTATAAAAATATTTTGATCTTGTCATAATTTCAAAATAAATTCATGACATAGAAAATTGTTCATAAATATGTACTATTTTAATAACATATACATGTACTTTGGCAATTGCTGTTATAAAGCAACATGATCAAGTACTTTTATAGAGACGAAACTCCTGCGTTTCTCGGGTGCCGATTCTAAATGTGTATGCACCCAAGGAGCATCATCCTGAAAGTAGCTACGATACCTTATAAATATCGATAGTAAAACATGATTTTTTCAAAAGTGACAAGAATTCGAAGAAATCAAAGTTACAAATATACCGATACTTGCAAATTTATTTATATATATAAATGAAAGTGGTGAATAAAATCTCAGCCTAAAAAAATGATAACGTATACGTGTATAGAATACCAGTGAAGAGAGAGAGAGAGAGAGAGAGAGAGAGAGAGAAATCTATGAAAGTATATTAATTAACTTTTTATTTAATAGTACTTTATACAGAATTTAATATAAGTAATATATTATTACACATTTATTCAAAAATCAAAAATTTCCTTTAATATCTCTGTATGACTGAGCTAGAATCTAACAAGCTTAAAATAATGTTCTTTATCTAAAAATGAAACAGTTGTTATCAAAAATATGAAACAATTTTTTTTTTAATAATCATTAGTGTTTCCATAAAATTAATGATACCATACATTCCCGAAGATCTATTTTTTTTTTCGAAGCATGTCAGAATGCAAATTTGTTGTCATTTACGTAAACGTTGTACAGGTTAATATTTTATTAGATTATCATCTGCATTTAAATGACAATCAAAGAGGTATAAATCATCTACATAAATAGAAGTTGCCACAATGATAGAAAATACTATGTTACATCTATTTTCTGTAACTTAAACATAGATTGAGAACTTATCATTATAGTCTGTAACATATATATGAAACACATTTACAAAATTACCTCAGAATAAATGCTCTGATACGTTATATCTTAAATTAAAAAGATATTAATACTTACTTCGTCAACAGTAATGCAAATACATTACTTTAAATACATTTTTGATTCTTTCCAACAAATAGTCACGCAATAATAATAACGATTTCAAATGAAGTAACAATGAACACATTTACTTATAAATATTGTGCATTCTAAAGTAATGTATTATTCAATATACTAAATCTTGACTTCCTTAACTCAACTTCAGACAAGCAATATAGAATAAGCAGCAGATGAAATCAATGTAAAAATTCTCAATTTTAATGAAGAGTATTTGCACATATCTAAAGAAATATTATTTAAAAACGTTCTTCCTATACTTTTGGAGATTCAGGTTTTATATAACATTAACCAAACAAAAATTATACATTTGAAATCTACAAGTAACGTTTTGAAATAATTTTTCTAATGTGTAAATATGTTAATAATATTTCAGAATTATAATTGCTTCATGTTGCTGCTTTTGTGGTTTGTTTGATCATATACAAATGTACTTTAGCGAATAATGGAAATCAAAATTGTGCAATATATTTTAAAGGGTGTTGTTTAGATCAAGACGTGGCCTTTTGCTACGAACTGTTGTATCATCATCTTCAGAATCACCATTAGCAGACAAAAAATCTCGTTTCCTGTCAGCATTCTAAAAAAATTTGAATTAAAAAGTATATTAAGAAATTCGTAATATGACAAATTTGTATTTAATATGCAGCTTGTACCTTTTTTTTCCATTGCTGGTGAAGGTACCTTAATAATATAGATGTTTTCTCGGTAACTATAACTAAAAATAATAATAATAGTAATCATAATAAGCTATTTTTCGTTTTACTATTTTAACTTGCAATGAAGTCAAAACTTACTTTGTTCTGAAGGATGATCTTTTGTAGGTAGATAAACAGAAGGTTTCTTTATACAAGTTCTATTTCCATTGTCTGTATGAAAATTAGCAAAATTATTTTCATTGTGCGAAGGCAACCCCTTTAAAAACTCAGCAACAGACTGCACATAAAATAATTGTAATTGTAAGACTTACAGGTTCAATGATACTTTTAAACAGATATGAACATCAATGCTCTTAAATATTAAAACTGTTTTCTCTCTCAGTCAAGTAAAATAGGATAAGGAAAATATCTGAAAATTAAACATTCTCGCTTTATTATTTATTGTACGCATAACAAAATTCGAAACTTTAAGAATTACTTCTTCACGTGAAAAAAGAAAGTATCACGCAAATCTGTAAACAAAATATTTAGATCGTGTGAAATATAATTATTTCATTTTGCAATACTCTAAAATAAAGTGCACATAACCTAAGCAAACTACTTCGTACTGAAATTAATGTTACTGCGTACAGATAAAAAATAAATCTTACCATTTTAAAACGATAAGGTTACTGTACAAATTACAATTATAATACAAAATCAAATTAAAAAATCATATCCACTTAACAATCTCACGAAATATCTGTACACCTTAAAGAAATGTTTAGAATGCTCTAATTGATACAAATGGATACAAAATCAACTACCATCATATCTTCCAATAACCACAAAGTCTGAAATATCTAGATCCTCTCCTTTTCGTTGGTTAATGACGCACCAAGCACTTGAAATTGGTCCATAGAGATTCAAATTCAAATTCAAATAGAAACTTCAACAAACATCTAACTGTATATTATTTTGTTTACGAATTTATTAGCTATTCTTACTTAATTTCCAGTAAAAAATGCTTAGGACAATTTTGCTATTTGATTACTAATTGTAAACGACTCTACTGTAAATGTTACCAAAGGAATAAGTCAATTTTGTGACGTGGATCAACGTGGATATATTAGAAAAACTTGTAACGTTGTTAACTATAATTAGTTGTAACTACTATTTTTTTTGTATTTATATATAACATATTTCAAGGAAATAAAATTTGAACGATGTAAACAATGTCGTGTTTGATTTTTTCATGTAAACATAACCTAGACTTAGTTTATGCTAATGGCAAAAAATACAACATAAAAAGTGTTGTATAGAAATTAATATATAATGTACAAAAAGAAGTGGCAGAATTTGAGAAAAGTTGATGACATTTTTGAGCTCGAACCAGAAATAATTCAGAAAACACAATGTTCTTCTCGAGTTAATTTTACTCATGTAGCATTTGATTGCTATGAAGAACACCTCGTTGCAACTGATTCAGCGGGATATTTGTATTATGTTGATCTATCAAATAATTCTGCCTGTTACCAAAAATTAGGAAATGTTGGACAACCAACATTCATAATATTTAATCCTATAAACAAATTTGAAATATTAATGGGTCTCACTACAGGTGATATTAAAATTCTGAAGGTGGATGTAAATATTACCCAATTTTGCTTGTTGATTGCTCATAAATTACCACCTGTACATGTTTCCTTTTATAAAAAGTATTGTTTAACTAGTTCACATAAAGAAGTTATAATATGGTGTCTACGTTCTTGTAGTAAAGCTCAACAATTAAGAGTTAACACAAAGAATATTGTGGTAAAAAAAGCAAGCTTTTCAAACTTAGGACATATTGTTGTATTATATTACAATGATACTTTACAAGCATGGAAATTCGATCGGTTGGAAGATGATGTTAAAATTGATACAAAAAGATTTGATATACGAAATACTAAAGACTTTGTTTTTACACATAATGGAAGAGCAATGATTTTGTCTAGTGCTCAGAACAAAATTATTATTTTGAACACATGTGACTGGAATTTGCTGAAAATTTTAAGTTTACCAGATAACTTTATTGGACTAAAGCAGTTATTGCTTGTACCATCACCCTTGGATGGTGGAGCAAACAATGTATTAGCATGCATTTCATCAAATGGGACTCTTTACTTTTTTGATCTGAATCTGTCTTGTATTATTCACACTCTACAAGTCATTAAGCCTCTAAGGAAAATTTTAGTTTCTTCAACTGGCAGATATATAGCATACATAGAACAAGAAGGACACTTAAAATTAATAATTACCGAGAAACTATTTTCACAGAAGTGTAAATCCCTGCAAAAGTTGAAAGACCCTTGCAGGCCACAGGCACACAGAAAGTGTGATCATTTACAATGTGTCAGACAACTCATGGAACAAGAATTACATATAGAAAGATTAATACCCATTTTGAAAGAGTTTGGAGAATATCCTGAAGCATATCGCGTATTAATATGGTCAACAATCTTAAGATTGCCTGGCAATAGAAATGCATATAGTGCTTTGGCTAACAAAGCAGCAAATGCAAGTTTTACTTCAGAACTTCTAAAAGATTATCCATTAGCAAACAGAAGTAAAAAGACATTGTTGTCGACAATAATAAATTGCTTAATTCAGTGGTGTCCTTTATTAACTCAATGTTCATTGTTACCAAATTTAGTTTTTCCATTCCTTATGGTCTTTCAGGTAATAAATTTCAATATTGAAACAGAGGATAGCATTTTGGGAATTCTCAAACTCTATTTTTTATAACAATTTTTTTTATTACAGAAGGATCCCTTACTTGGCTTTGAACTCATACTAAGCATACTATTAAATTATTGTCAAAAATGGTTTGAATACCATCCTTTACCACCCTTAAATGTGTTAGGTATAATAGAGAATATCCTTCTGCATGCAGATCCATCTTTATTAAATATTTTTTGTGAACGAGGAATAACATCCAGTGAATATGCATGGCCACTTTTAAAGACTGCAATGAGTGAAATCTTATCTGATACTGAATGGTTAATTTTATGGGACTATTTAATATCTTTCCAAAGACCCTCACTTTTGTTAATGAGTGTCATTGCATATAGTATTTGCTCTCGTAAGATCATAATTTCTTCATTACATTCGCCAGAAAATTTTAAACGATATTTTACTAGTCAAGGGAATATCACAGCAAAGGAATTATTTAAAGTTGCTCAACAACTTGATGATAATATACCATTAAGAATACATCCTAGTCGCTATCTAAGGTAAAACAACGATTAATTACAATATTTTCAATAATTAATAACTGTCGACATTAAAAAGCATCCTAAAACTGTCTTAAACAATATTGTAACTACTGTTGTACTATTTCAGAAACGAATTAATTACATTGCCCTCAAAAGGACCTTACCCACCATTCATGATACACGATTTTCCAAAATTTTTAACAGATGACATTTCTCTTTTGGAATTTGAGAAATTGAAAGAAAAAGAACGAGTTACACGCGAACAGAATCGTACAGCCATTGAAACAGCTGAGACAAAGAGATTGAAACATGAAGCAAAATCTTTTATGAATCAAATCCATGAAACAAGACTGAATGGTAAATATTCTATAACAAGCAAAAAATGGACAGTAAATAAATTATGAAAGCTAAAACTAATTTGTATTTTCTAGAAGTACAAAAATGTATTAAACAACAATTGTGTGATATGGATTGGAGATTCATAACAACACCAAATAAACCCAAAACACAAAAAACATGTGAACATATTGATGTTTCAAGCGAGGAAGATAATGTAGATTATATAACTGTTAAATCAAAAAACTATGAACAAATGCAACGTGATGTAGATAAATTGGAATATGAAGTGCAAAGTCTCTTGAATTCATTAAGATCTCAGAAATCAAGAGCAGAAAATACTTGATATATGTTAAGATCACATTAAACAATGAAGTTGAAGTTTTAAAGCATTGACGTGTAAGTAATGTCCAAAATAAAATCAAGAAATGTTAATCCATGAATATTCTTAATTTGTACTAATTTATAAAAAAATTTGTATACGATATTTTTTTTATATACACATTTATTTTATAAAAATATTGACCACCTTATGTGTAATTTTATATAAAATTTTTTGTTGTAAAAATGTTAGTAATATTATGTAGATTATGCTGCCTGAATTCTTGGATATAAAATTATTTTTTTCATATTGCTTCAAAGTAGAGATTTATAGTTACAGAGTAAAGACTATCAGTCATATTGTACAAATGAATGAACAGGCACATTAAGTTTCTCCCGTCCCTTTAATCCAGTTATTTCAATTATTACCAAACATTCAACCACTTCACATCCAAGTGTTTGTAGTAATTCTAATGCAGCAGCCATACTACCTGTAGTTGCATAAAACATTTGTTATCAAACTAATTTCTTTAAAAAAAAAGTCAAAAGAAACTGCTAAGTAATTATTTTCATCTTACCCCCTGTTGCTAGTAGATCATCTACAATAAGCACTCGTGTTCCTTTCTTTATGTTATCTGATTGTATTTCAAATGTAGCCTATGCAAAAAAACTTTTCAAGTACAGTTATTACAAATGACATTAGCAATAGAATAGTGCAAATTATAATTTAAATTTGTTTCTCTGACCTTCCCATATTCTAAGGTGAAGCTTTTCTCTACAACATTTCCTGGAAGTTTTCCTTTTTTCCTAATAGGTAAGAAAGGTTTCCCCAGTTCCATAGAGATCATAGGTCCGAAAAGAAAACCTCTTGAATCAAGACCTACAATCAAATCAACTTCAAGAAATAATACATGCTCCACTATCAAATCTTTCATTGCTCTCAATGCTATCATGTTGCTGAATACGCTGAATATATCTCTGAAAATAAATAATTCTTGAAACGCGATAATTTGACTTTAATCGCCCTATTGTTTCTTAATTTTCGAGATGATCTTGAAAATATTTTAAGGTTGATTAAACATGTAGAATTCAAGTAATCGATTTAATAAAAATTTGACACAATACTCACCGAAATACAACACCGGGTGTAGGAAAATCGGGATAGGCTTTAATTGCATTCCGCAGTAATTGAATTTTTTCGTTTTTGTCCATTACAGATGATTTACAATCTCGTTAAATGATATTGATTATCCCACAAAGTACTCTTAAAGCTACTCTGTGATTGTACTAATTGTTACAAATAGCAGCAGTAAATTAATCACAGCACGAAAATATAGTACATTCCAATTATTAAACACATAAATATGTAAAATACACACTGTCACAATACAGAAATCATAAAAAGTAAAATTTGTGTTAACATTGAAATTTTTAATTCCAAAAAACACGTGCGTATTATCGCGTTCAAAAAAACGATGTGGTTCTCAGCTTGGCTTGCAATCTGTAATTCATTTATTAATTCAAGGTTATCTGTACGAGATAAACATTAAGAGGTTAGCTAGTTTTTTTGTGGGACAAGGACAAGAGGGGATCGCCTATATATAATAATAATAATAATAATACAATGGACCGACATGAATGACGGTATATACAGTATGACCGACAATAATAAACATACAATTTATTACCTCGATTAATGTCATAGTAATATAATAAAGGAGTACAAGGGATTTGTTTAACATAAAATTTACTGGACCGTACAATAGAACTTGTAATAATCATTATTATGCAATATTTTACAGTACAGTTACAAGCTTTTCTTATTCGTAGTGATTAAAAAAAAACTATTTACATGAAGTGTATCCTAGAATTAGTAATATATTACAATAAAAATATATTTATTAAAACAGGTATAACAGAAAAAGGTTATTATAGAATTCTGTTTCTTAAAACTTATCAAAGATATGTACAACTTCACGAATGCTTGGGTAAGATATAACAATTTTAAGTAAAAGATTTTATAAAAAATGTAAAAATATAAGCTAAATTTTTCATATGTTAGTATCCTATTCTTCTATGTGATATTTTAACTTTATACATATACTAAAATTTCAAAAATATTATAAATACGATTCTTTTGCGACATTAAATACTAATAATTGATTCATGCTTAATTCTTGTTAATAATTAATGATATATCAGGCATGTGCAAATGCTAAATGCCATTAGCTTTATTTAATTTTTACCTATTTTCACGTGAAGGTTAATTTATTGTTGAATCTAGTTTGTATACAATTAGCACATGCTTGTAAAATATTAGCATACCATTACTTTTCGTCAAATATTATTTACTTAAATAAATTACGACGGCAGTGCGGAAACTGGGTACTTCAAACAACAATAGATTATTATAATAATCTACTCGTGTCACTTCTATTACCTTCTCACAAATAATCCCACATAGAACACGATTTTCACCGTGATTATTTTAAATCGATTCAATTATGCACTGTTTTTGTTCTCTTAATCCCATATGGATTCTTACGATTTAGTGATATTTACCATTCTATTTGGAATTATCTACTTTGTGACTAGTAGCTCATGGGAACGATCCTGTACAATAGAATCAGATACGACACCCTTTTCTCCTACCGAGGAAATTATTCGATTTCAAAAACTTTAAATAATCAACGAGAATAAGTTGTATTATTTACAATGCTAGCATGACAATGCTTTCGTTAAAATCGACTATATCAGAATCTGTTGAAAAGTTTCTCCAGTCTATTTAACGAAATATGAGATTACTCTGTCGGGAATGGATCAGACCTTTGTCGTAGCCAGTAATTTGATATAATGTGCTTTATGAGTTATCTCGAACTCCTGAGCAGGTAGAAAACATTGTGTCTGTATCCTGGGGTGTTTCACCTTCTTTACGACGCTTCGACCGAGGACTACCAGTACGATCAGAAGTGCACAACCCGCTCCAATTATCGCCAAGACGATTATTTCGGTATTCTGTTTGAACCCCTGTACCTCGACGCAACGGAGTCTATCCCGATCGTTTACGAAGTTTGCGATAACATCTTCCTCATTAACTTCGTCGAGGCTAGCGCAAACCTTGTAACGACCGGGCAACAGTACCTCCAACGTTACGAACGTTAAACTACAGTTGAGCTTTTGCTTGTGCACCGCGGATTCGGCGTCGAAGACAATGACGGATAACTCGCATTCGGGTAGACTCGACTTCTTCAAAGACGATAAGCTGACGTCGATGTGCATGAAACCCTGGTCGGACACGTTCGCGTAAACTCCGGTTATTCTTGTGTCGGAGGACTGGGCTACGGTGGTTTCTTGATCTTGCTGTAATTCTCGTTTGGTTTCCACGAGGGTCATCACATCGCTACATCCCAGGCCTAAGGACACATCATCGTAGCCGGTTGGTACAAGGAGTACCACGCAATAACGATATTTATGACCTAATTGCAAATGCATCGAGGCTGGTATAGCTACAGGTAAGGAGCAGGGATCTCTCATTAAGCGCGAATCACAATGCAAAGAACTAGAGACTGTCTGTACTTCGCTATCGCCTATGGTCTCGTAAACGATCAATGTGTCGCATGTGTACCGTTCTGTGCACATCTCCACATGCCACAGAAGGTTGACACCAGTTGATTTATCATAATGAAACTCTTTCAATGTCAGTTGGCCACCGGTTAGAGGCTCTTTGGTTGTGATCGGCGGCGTAGGCTCACCGCAAAGGAGACTACCAGGAGAAACTTGCGTCAGTATACCGTTTTCCAAAGCGGGTGGCGTTGCGCAGACGGCTGAGGACTTGTCCTCCTCGTTTAGACTGGAATTACTCAACCAATTGGCGAACTCTAGCAATGTGCAGTCACAGTTGAGAGGATTGTCGGCCAGAGAGAGTCTTTTTAAACGTAACTTGGACGTTGGTACATCGCTAGCCACCATTGTGATATCGTTGTCGTCCAGCCGCAGATCTTGGAGACTCTTCAACGGCACCACCAGATCGGCAGTTAGAGATCGTAGGAAGTTGTGTGTCAGGTCTAGCGTAATTAATTTTTCTAAATGCGCCAATGAAGAGCTGGACACCGCGACGATGCGGTTGTTTGCTAAATCAAGTCTGGTGAGGGTTGACAGGTATTTGAACGAGTGGTCTTCCAATACATCGATCTGGGAAGAGAAATCCTTTTCAATGTGCGGTTATGTCTACTTATGATTACACCGCCCTAAGTATTTGTATTTGTATAAATGAAAACTGGTATTTTAAAGCAAGTTGATAGTGTTGTTACAGGGTATCTAATTGTATACGCTGTTACGATGTATCTAATTCATAGCGTTCGTTACCTGATTGTGACTCAAGCTGAGGTAAGACAAGTTCCTCAGCCCTACCAACGCTCCTTGCTGAATGTTCACCAACTCGTTTTCGGATACAGTGAGGAAACGCAGCCGTGGCATTTGAGGAAGAAGATTTGGACCCATGGGACCCAACAAAAGATTATTGGAGAGATCCAGCTCCTCCAAGATCTTGAGGCCTCTGAGTGCCGACAACGCCGAGACGCTCAAACGGTTCCCACGCATCCTCAACGAACGTAACGCCGGCAACGCGGCGAACGCTTGCGGCGATAATTGCGACAATAAATTGTCGCACAGGTCCAAATACGTTAGGTTCGACATGCCCTGTGAAACGTTTAAACTCAGGTTATTCATGTATGAGTTACGACTGCGTGAAAGCTGATTGGTGCCCTCGGGACCAGTTCGGTTTGCCGCAATTTTTCATCGGGTCAGTAGAAACAGTTATGGCGACGTCTGTTGTTATAACCAGGAAAATTATGGCTACCATCGCCGTAGGCGTTGAGTAATTAATTATGATACAGTTCATTAAGCTCATCGTCTATTCAAAGGGTCGTTTTCGATTATAAATACATGTAAGTGTTGAATGAAATATAGTGTCCTCGATTAATCATACAGGCTTTTAAATTTAGACATACTAATTTCATTAACAGTATAACTTTTCATT